CCGAGCGGCGGCGGGGGAGCGCGCGCCCGCGTGCGGGGGGCTCGTCTCTGCTCCCCAGAGGGTCGCCGCGCTCCAGCCAGGGATGGAGAGGACGTGAGCGGGGACGGTGACTTTGCTCCTGCTGCGGGGCCATGGGAGTCTGAGAGCGGCTGGTCCTCGCCTCGCTGCCAACAGGTAACGGGGATCCGGGGGCAAGAGGGTTTGCACCCTCCAGACGGGAGCTGGGGACCACCCCGGTGCCTGCGTAGGGTGGGGGGATCCCATTGCACTCGCCGAGGTTGTCCCTCAGAGGGATGGAAATGGGGGTTGGGGCGCTCGCCGCGGGGGGACGTGAGCGCTGGTGTCAGGGCGGGGGGCGAGGGGAGCAGAGCTGTGCTCCCCGTTCCTCTGTAGCCTCCAGTAGGGTGAAAGCCACTGCTCCGATGCCCTTTGCCTGCCCGGCGTGGGAGCGCTGACCCCCTCGCAGGGCTCTCCCTGAGCCCCCATCTCCAGGGCAAAGCGGGAGTTTTGTCCCCAAAGCCAGGCAGTGGTTTAGTGCTGGTCCATCGGGGTCCGTTGCCCGATTTGGGGGTTCAGATGCTGAGATGCGCCTGGTTTCGGCGCTGCCTCAGTGCAAACAGATCCCCGCCGCCACGGCAGCCGCAGGGACGTGGTCCCTCCCGTGTCCGCATGCCAGCGTGGGGCTGACCGTCCAGCTGGGTCACAGCTGGCTTGGGGACATCCGGGGCGCCCCGGTGAGCCTTGAAGAGCATCAAGGATGGGGTCAGCCCAACCTTTGGCCCTCCTCACACCCGCCCACACTTGTGAACAAACCAACCCGACCCGGACGAAGAAGCATGTGCGGAAGGGCCAGCACGGGGCAGCTCCTCCGGTGAGAGCCAGAGGGGGGGTCCGGACACGGTCCCAAGCAAAACCGGAGAGAGGGACATACATGGCCGTGCAAGGACGCGTGTGCACACCCCTGTGTCCACACCGACACCTCCCCGGGGACACGGGGAGGCACGGGGCAGGGGCGCCTACACATCCCTCCCAGGCAGCCCTCGTATGAGAAATTCGGTTGCACAGATGCAGTCGCAAAACCTGACTTCAAACGCTCTGTTGTCACCGGCGCGGCCCTCGCACGGCGCAGGTGAAACGGCTGCTCGGTGGAAATTACGCTGTGGCTTGAGTACAGAAGAGAAAAAGGAAAAAAGCAAAAAAGCACAATAGCAGCACCTCCCTCCCCACCCCGGCTTCGAGCAGGAAGGAAAAAAAACACCATCTCCTGGCACTGCTCGCCTTCGGTAAAAGTATTTGAAGGGCTGCGGCCACGGCTGGGAGAGCGGGGGCATCTCCTCTGCGGGGCCAGAGATGTGCTTGGGGTGGGTATGGGCTTTGCTGCTGCCTGGACATCGCTGGGGTCTTGCCTCCTGCCGGCTTTGGGGCACCACGGCACAGCCGAGCCCCCTCCTTGGGTGCCAAAGAGCCTTTCCGAATAGGTGTCACCAGAAGCTGAAGGCACCAGGGTTGTTTTTAGCGTTTGAGTCCCCAAAGCAGCATCGCATGGCATGGGGGCGGGGGTGTGCTCGCTCATCCGCACTCTCCTCGCCAAATTCGCCCGTCGGCTGCTCCCGTTGGCCACCGTGGCGGTGGGGATGGTCACTGTGTCACTGCTGTGGATGCCGAAAGAGCCATGCTGTCCCCAAGGGAGGGGTCTACTGGTCCTGCAAAACCAGCCCTGGCAGCACGGGCTGGGGGATTTTGGCTGGCAGTAGGCTCTGATGGCCAGGGCTGGTGACACCGGGGGCTGGTGGCACTCTGGGGACCCCATACCCTCCCTGGGGACCCCCTACGAGGCTCTTCCCTGTGTCCCCAGCTGCCCATGGGGGTACGCACTCAAACAAAGCCCCCACTGCCGTGCACCTCCCCAGCATCACGGAGAGAGGTGGATTTACGTGCGTGCTTGCGAAAACACAGCACCGCAATGGCTCCCGGATAGGAAACCAAGGAGAAAACGGTGCCGGCAGGGGCCGCGGCCCGCACCTCCAAGGCTCCCGGGGCTCAGCCAGCCCACCAGGGACCCGTCTCACTGCAGGGCACGGTGGGGACCCTCGCAGCTGCACTGCCTCGCTGCCAGATAAGAGCTCCCACTCGGCGTTTGCAAAAGCGGTCGCCGGTTTTGGGTGCTGGGGGCAGAGACACCTGGGGTGGCTCTCGGTGGCATGGGGCTCCCAGCCCTGCCGTTGGCTCCCAGCGCCTGCGGAAACCACACCGGGGCCCCCAAAGCTGCTGGGAAGAGCCTGGAAAGAGGAGTTTTGGGAGGTGAGGGAGGGGGGAGTGAGGGCAGGTCTTGGTGGAGATAAATCCCAGTGGTGTAGGCGTGGGGGATTCTGCGGAAAAACTTTTTTCCAGGGCCGTGGGCCGCCGTTTCCACATGACGCACTGCTGGGGCTCCCGGCACCGTGCCGCGCTCGGCTTGTGCGGGAGGGTGAGAGTTGCCCGGGTGGTTTGTAAGAGCCCGTGCCACACTCGTGGCATCGCTGCCAGGCTGCCCCGGTGCCCGTGCCGTGGTACCGGGGACCCTGGGGCGCAGCCCTGCACCAGCTTGGCATCACCGTGGCCAGGGCTGATGTTTGAGGTTGGGGGGTCCTTGATGTTTTGAGGGGGGAGCTGCCGAGGATGAGGGGACCCTAAGCGGGGATGGGGGTTTAAAGCACATCCCTGATGCAGGAGAAACAGGAGCAGAGCGACGGGGCCGAACGCACGGGGCAGGGAGGCGAACGAGAACCTCGGGGAGAAGGAAATCGGAGGTGATGCAGCGTGGGTGGGGGAGTGCTCACATCCGCCTCTGACCCCAGGAGCCGCTTTTAGGGCCAGGGAGGTGCCTGGTCCAGCCAAACTTCGTAAAACACACGTTGCAGGGCCGTGCAAGGACGTATTAATCGCTAATGGGATATTTGTGATTAGATTGTTATCTAGGGATCAGCCCAAGGGCTGCGGGGTGGGAAGGAGCTGGCGAAGGAGGCAACGCCAGGCTGTGCCGGTGGGGAAGGAGAGCCGCAGGCTGGGGACTAATTGCCTTCAGTGGTTTTAATTAACCAAGCCAGAACAAAATTAGGAGGAAACATGGCATGGAGTCAAGGGATGCCCTCAGCTCAGCAGAGGACCAGGGGAGTGGGCAGGATGGGCCATGTGATGAGGACAGCCAGCCAGACGGATGCAGGGATGGGGATATACTGGAGCAGGAGGAGAGGCAAGGCTGGGGCCGGGGGTGCGAAGGCTTCCCTCATCACCTCTCGTCCCCCTGCAGCCACCATGGGCTGCTGCTGCAGCTCGGACTACGACGAGGACTGGATCGAGAACATCGACATTTGTGAGCACTGCAATTATCCCATCGAGCCCGACAGCAAGCGCCAGGTGAGGAGGGGGCGAGCAGAACCCCTGTCCCCCCATCCCAGAGGCCAAACACCTCCAGAGGTGACCTGGGATGGCCAAATCCCAGGAAAGCGAGAGCTGACGGGGCTCCTCATCCCCTCACAGAGGCTGATCCGCAATGGCTCTGAGGTGCAAGACCCGCTGGTGTCCTACGAGGCCACATCTCCGCCATGCTCCCCCCTGCAAGGTAAGGTCCGGCTGTGGCAGGGGACGGCTGTGGACCCCCCCCCAGTTGGCTGCCACCACCCTGCCCCTCCGCTTGTCCTCCCAGATAAGCTGGTGGTGGCCCTGTACAACTATGAGCCCAAGCACGACGGGGACCTGGGGCTGCGGAAGGGCGAGAAGCTCCGCATCCTGGAAGAGTGAGCGAGCGCCGATGGCGTCCCAGCACCCACACCGGTGCGACCCCACGGCTCCCCGGTGCTACCGGGGGCGTCCGTATGGGGTCCTGGGCAGACGGGGAGGGTCTCACCACGCTGTGTCCTTGCAGGAGTGGGGAGTGGTGGAAGGCGCAGTCGCTCACCACTGGCCAGGAGGGTTTGATCCCCTACAACTTTGTGGCCATGGTGAACAGCCTGGAGCCCGAGCCGTGAGTAGGGGTTGAGTAGGAGCCGCGCCT